CCGGGGGGGGCCCCGGGGGGGCCCCCGGGGCCCCCTGGGGGGGCCCCTGGAGGAAATAAACGAGGCCCAGCTGCTGGTGCCAGGCCAGCCAGCCACAGGCGAAGGACTGCTGCGGCAGCGCCGGGGGGTACCAGTGTCTAGACACCCCGAGCTGCGAAAGATAAACAGCAGCAGGAAAACTACTTTCGGAAATGTTTCTGGCAGCAGCGGCTCCTTGCACAGCAGCGGCTCCTGCCCCGGCTGCAGCGTTGCTAAGCAGTCTTGACACTTCCAGTTGGGGTGGTAGCAAATGCTGCTGTGGGGCGCAGCAAAGCTGTCGGGCCGCGGGGGGAGTGCTGCTGCTGCGCTGCTGCGGCCTTCGGCGGCATCTGCTGCTGCTGCTGCTGCTGCTGCTGCTGCTGCTGCTTCCCCCTCTAGGGCGCCCTCCAAGGGGTACAGAGGCAGCACCGGCGAAGGGCCGAAGGCGGGGGGAATGCCTTGCAGCTGCGGGTGCTGCGGGCTCTGCTGCTGCGTTTCCTGCTGCTGCTCGGGCTGCTGCAGCTCCTGCTGCTGCTGCTGCTGCGGCTCGTGGTGGTGCTGCTGCGGGTGCCTCTGCTGCTGCTGCTGCCGCCGCAGCCCCCGCGCCTCCTCCTTCCACTTCTCTCTCGGGACCCTGCAGCTAAAAGAATTTGGGTTTTGTCTTTCTTGCAATTCGAAAGGGAGTGCAGCAGCAGCTGCAGCAGCAGCAGCAGCAGCAGCAGCTTTCCCTCTGCACTGCACATCCACATGAAATGGCTCCTTCTCCTCAGGCCCTTCTCTCCCCCGTGCCCCCTCGCCCAGCGGAGACGCGATGCCCGCAGCAGCAGCAGCAGCGCCAGCAGCAGCAGCAGCAGCAGCAGCAGCAGCAGCAGCAGCAGCGGGGGGGCCTCTGCTGCCGCCGCCGAGCAAATCGCCTCCCGCTCCTCCCCCGTCTGGCGCAGTGCTCACAGAAGAGCCCAAAGTGCTGTCGGGGTATTCTGCGAAAACAAAAAACAAAAACAAAAAAAGAAAAAACAAAAATAAAGTGAAAAATAAAAAGTACCAATTCTTGCTGCTGCTGCTGCTGCTGCTGCTGCACTTGCAGCAGCGCCGACGCTGCTGCCCATCAGCTGCCAGCTACTCTGCAGCAGCAGCACCAGCTGCTGCTGCAGCTGCCAGTGCTGCTGCTGCTGCAGCTGTCAGCGCCGCTGCTGCTGCAGCTGGCAGCGCTGCTGCTGCTGCTGCTGGCAGTGCAGCAGCAGCAGCAGCAGCAGCAGCAGCAGCAGCAGCAGCAGCAGCAGCAGCAGCAGCAGCAGCAGCAGCAGCAGCAGCAGCA